ATGTCTGGATTTTAATGGCATTTTGTGGGATGAAAATGGATCTAGGAGATCCTGAGTTTAGACTTACATGCAGGGGTCTCCAACCTTGGCCACTTTTAAGACTTGTGGATTTCAACTCCCAGAATTCCAAAGCTGGCTGGGGAATTCTGGGAGTTGAAGTCCTAAAGCAGAGCTGGCTGGGGAATTCTGGGAGTTGAAGTCTTAAAGCAAAGCTGGCTGGGGAATTCTGGAAGTTGAAGTCCTAAAGCAAAGCTGGCTGGGGAATTCTGGGAGTTGAAGTCCTAAAGCAGAGCTGGCTGGGGAATTCTGGGAGTTGAAGTCTTAAAGCAAAGCTGGCTGGGGAATTCTGGGAAGTCCTAAAGCAAAGCTGGCTGGGGAATTCTGGGAGTTGAAGTCCTAAAGCAAAGCCGGCTAGGGAATTCTGGGAGTTGAAGTCCTAAAACAAAGCTGGCTGGGAAATTCTGGGAGTTGAAGTCCTAAAGCGAAGCTGGCTGGGGAATTCTGGGAGTTGAAGTCCTAAAGCAAAGCTGGCTGAGGAATTTTGGGAGTTGAAGTCCTAAAGCAAATCTGGCTGGGGAATTCTGGGAGTTGACAAGTCCACCAGTCCCAAATTTGACAAGGTTGGAGATCCCTGGACTACAATGCCTCTCTTCCTACAATGTCTTAATTAGCATCCCTACCCCCATAACAAAAAAGACACGCTAATTAGGTTTGTTGAAAATTTGGAAAAGCTTGTTCCTTTTACAGAGCAGACCCTTTACAGCTGCACAAATTGATTTGGTTTAAGTGAAACTCTTAATTTTTGGAAGCTTTGGAAGGTCTCTTGTCCCGATGGATCTTTGTACAAGACAAAAAAAACACATTAAGAACATAAGCCTGCCTTAAGTTTAGAGCAGTGTTTCTCAACCTTGGCAACTTGAAGATGTCTGGCTGGGGAATTCTGGGAGTTGAAGTCCGGACATCTTCAAGTTGCCACGGTTGAGAAACACTGGTTTAGAGAGTTTAGTTCTAACGTTAAGGCCAGTTTCTATTTGAAATCCTCGCGTCACGTTTTGGTCTGGCCTAAGACCTGCTTTCGGGAGAACATTTTCACGGCAGGAAGTGACTTGAGTCGCATGAAATAATCAGCAGCTAATCACGGAAGGAGGCCTGGGAACCTGCTGGACGGGGAGCTCTAAAAATTATTTACGGGGTGGGGGAGTGGTGATCAAATACCTTCTGCTGATTTTTAAGTTGATCCCGAGTGCGTAATCGTAGCATTGAAGTCCTTAAACCAGTGTTTCTCAACCTTGGCAACTTGAAGATGCCCGGACTTCAACTCCCAGAATGCCCCAGCCAGCATTCCCCAGCAGTGGTTAGGACAGTGTTTCTCAACCTTGTCAACTTGAAGATGCCCGGACTTCAACTCCCAGAATTCCCCAGCCAGCGAATGCTG